CCACTGAACCCCCCACAAGAACCCACATTAATGGCCTTTTGCATTTACAAAGCTCTCTCACATCATCCTTTCATTGATCCTCAAGACGACACTGTGATTTAGATGAGGATTAATGCCCCCATTTTACAGATGACAAAACTACATCTCAGAAAGACCAAGGTTCTGAGAGTAGGGACCATTCCAAAGTCACCTCCATATCTGAAGCACTTGGCAGAGCACCAGGGGTTTCCTTGGTGACTGACGTGCAGTGCCAGGGCTGTGGCCCAGTCCCAGTAGCTCTGGGCCAGCAAGTGTCCCACTGTTCACATGCCTCACAGTTCACCGGGCTGGTTCCCATGGTTGGGGAGCCCCCAGATGGACATGGTTTACAGGACACATTAACAAAAGGAGACAGGAGCTATGAGCACTTTGCGCACTTCACCATGTGTCTAGGGCACGCTCTGCCTAGAGACCTAGACTCTGGACCAAGGCCAGCAAAATGTCTAGCCAACAACCCTTGCCCTTCAGCTGGAAAGAACAAAGGTTCCTGGGGAAAAGTTCATGCGTTTGACCCAGGCCAACTCCCCAAATTAACGCTCTCCACAGTTTTTGTTTTCTGGAAGCAGGAACATGTGACCAGGTATCCCTGACTCCAGAATACTCTGGTCTGATAACCGGATCAGAGCAGCAGGAAGAAGGCCCACATCCCTGGGCTTGTTCTGGACCCAGCACTCAGGCTTGAGAGATGCTGTCCCTCCAGATTGCACATGTACAACCGGGGAGACAAGAGATGCCACTGAAGCAGGGAGCCCAGCAGGGGCCATGATGTGCTCTCTCCTCCCCTCTGGTCCTCACCCCTTCTGTGTAGCAAACCTCTCTTTGGCTTCTAAGGGGTACTATACAGCTGCTGTCTTTGCCAACTTCTCTCCAAAGGAGATGCCAGGGAATTAAGGGCTTGTTTATTAAGGACTCTCTGCCTCCGAAGTTCAGGCCCTGTCCACCGCACCCTCCTGCCTGGGACACGTCTCGTCCAGCCTCCCTTCCAATGCGAGGATTGCCTCCACAGCCTCCCTAACAGGTCGCACAGCCTCGACTTACAGGACTTATGGGTCTCTCGGTGGGGCCCTTTCACTCACTGGGTACAAGCTCTAATAGCCATAAACTTCTTCCTCCCACTGTGACTAGAACTACTTCTGGTTCTGGATCTGCCCTCTGGAGGGTATCACTGGAGGGCAGATGGGATCATTCCTCACAACTCAAGATGCTCCCCATAGGGACAAGTGCCTCCCTGCCTTCTCCAAGTTAAATGCCCTGGTTCTTTCAGCCACACCTCCTGTGACAGTGCTTCTAGACCCCTCACCAGCCTGCCCCCCTCTCTGGAAGAGCTTCAGCTTACCTCTACCCCTGTAGCTTGATATGCCCTGTGTGGTCCAGCCAGCACAGAGCCTGTGCCCATCCCATTCCTCTGCTCCAGATGCTGCTCTCCTAACAATGCAGCCTACGCGTACATCTGACTGTCAGGCAGCCACCTCACACTGAGCTTGCAGCCCACAAAAACTCTGCCAGTTTGTTCTGTGAGCCACTGTGGCAGACACTGTTGGTTACCTAAGAGCCATTCCTACACCCCTCTGCCTTGATGACAGAGGGCTGACATTTTCTCAGGTGCTTATCCTCCCTCAACCGAGTCCCAGGAACTAAGCCAATCCCAGTAGCCTCAAGTATCTTTCCAAAATTGGATTAGGTACGAATGTGGTCAATCCCGGTTAGTAGGCTCTTCAGGGACCTCTTCTGGGGGGTCTACTGGGAAAGGCTTTCCTTCTCCTAAAAGAAAACACAGGGGAGGAAATACCCTTCTATTCTGATGGGACCTTGCTGGGTCTATGGGTAATGCTTGGAATGGTGGCAGCTTCTTGTGACCATGAAGGAAGGCACTGTGGACACAGCAAAGATGGCAGAAGGAAGAGATGGAGAACTTCATTGTCACTGTGCCGTTGAACAAACCCTGGAACTCCTGACCTCAGGACCTCTTGTCATGGGAGCTGGGAGGTGATAGACCCAAATGCATTTTCTGCTACCTGCAGCTCAAAGCCCCATAGCCCACAGGCTCCCACGACAGGATTATGGCACAGTCTGAACCTGGTGGGCCACAAGGAAGAAAATACCACCCCCCACTTCATGGCCTTCAGCAACCCTAGGTTGCATCTCCCATTCTTGTCTCTTAAATGACAACTAGGGCCAATTTCAAAGCTTTGTGGTCACTCTTGGGTATAAGGAAGTCCAGTCCGGTCTAGTCCAGTTTAAAACTTTGATCTCAAATCCATTGTAATGCTATATTCCCCTGCTCCCAGAATAGACCATACCTCAGCCCCAGAGATGTAGAAAGGAGAGGAAGCATGTTCCCCACCCCCCGCCCCCACCTTCTATTTCTGGCTCTTCCACTGCTGGCTGGGAAAGAGGGACTTAAAGGACAACGGAGCCCTCTGTGTGGCCAGGCTCCAGGTACTGGCCTGCCAGGGTACCCACTGGGGTTCAGAGCCCATGCAGAAGTCTCTCCTTGCCCTGTTCCACAGAGGGGCAACCCAAGACCCCATAGCTCCAGCCCCTGATGGCCCCCCACAGCCTCCTCTGGCCCTGCAGCCAGACCTCTGCAAAAGTCCAAAGCCCAGCCATCTTCCAGTGTCCACTTGGCCCACAGGATACTGACACATCCTGACCATGCCAGAGGGAGTGCAGACAGCCCCCAATGACCCCTGCCACCTCTCCCTGGTGCCTTTTACCTTTGATCAAACAGGCACAGAGGGTGGATCAGCAAGCTAATTTCAAAAGTAGACTTTCCAGCAGGGAAGAAGATGCCATCTTCCCTTCTTGCAGTTTCTATCAGTGATTCCCGTGAGCCTGCTGCCCCAACATGGCTAGGTTTCTTCCCTAGGCTGACAACCACAACTAGAGTGATTCTCCCTCCTCTCTCTCAGTTATCCAGGCAGGGAGAACTGACGCCATCTCTGTCCTCGGCTGTGCATTCTGGTGGCCAATTCCAGGGCAAGAGAAAAAGTCAGTGCCTGTTATGCACCTTTCAAGCCAAGCCTTGCCTGTGCTGAAGCTGAGCACTTGCTCTTTTTAATGTCAGTGCAGGACTGCACACATAGCACCACTGGTTGGTTCCAGGCTTTGGATGATGTTCCAGTTGCTGAAGCCTGATTCTAACCTTAAATCTATTACTCTCTCTCTCAGCCCCACATCACCCACCAATTTGATAATCCAGACTTCTGTGCCATTACTTAAGCCTTTGATGAGATTATC